TTAAGTTACGTATCGTGTTCGTCCGTCGTTCTTCTTCTTTTCTTCTTTTTCTTTTTCTTTTTTCTTTTCTTCTCTCTTCTCTCTCTCTCTCTCTCTCTCTCTCTCTCTCTCGACACGATTTTTCGAATCGAGGTGAAACGCTTTGCCTGTACACGCATTGCCTAAAAAGAAAAAAAAAAAAAATTGACCGATTTATCTGATCGCATGTATAGCCGAAAGTGCCAGAAATCAAAGCGCCAGAGACACCGAAGATCGAAGTGATCAAAGACGTAACGCCGGCTGGAAGCAGAAAGAGTTCGTTGATTCCTGGTAGCGGCACGACCAGTCGACGGGGCTCCTTGATACCGCCCGAAGAATTGGGTCGCAGACCCAGCCTGATCATCAGTGACGAGGTATGTTACGAGGATTCTCTCTCTACTCTTGTAAAAAGTGTACGTACGTACGTATGTATGTATGTATGTACGTACGTACGTGTATGTATATATACACACACACACATATATATATACATATCCAGTTTTTATATATACATATATATATATTTTTTTTTTTTGCGAACACGCTGCGAAAAGATATCGTTCTCTCTCGAGAAATCGATATTCTGGCGGCCGTTCCCCCGCCTCGAACGATCGAGCGATCGATCTGCTCCGGGTGGGAAAACATGGAAGCTCTTGGATTTTTTGGATGGTAACGGAATTTTATCGCGAAATACCCGTTAATCAACCTCCCTTTGTCAAATTGCCAAGCAATGTTCTTAATAGCCCGCGATGTCTAATACCATTCCAGAAATAAACGCGTTCGCTCCTATTTTCGTGCAATTACTCATTACTTAATTTTTGATTCGCGGATCTTAATTGGGCGTGTCTTCAACTTCTTAATCCGTTAGACGGCAGGATCGATGGAATACAATGATAATTTATTTGAACCAGAGCAGATCGATTGTTCGTCTCTCGAGAAGCGAGTAAATCCTTGCTGGTTACTCGCGATCCTCGATTCCAAAAAATCTTTTTCAATCGTATGTTTACGTACGTAAACAGACGGTGGAGAAGAAAGACGATCGAGAGTATCCCGTAGAAGGAAAAAAAAAAAAAGAAAAAAATGAAGATTCGAAAGTAATGTAAAAAAAAAAAGCAATCGTAGGTAGCTCGTGTAAAGAAAAGATACACATAGATACAAGCGTAGGTAGATCCAGCGGCTGACTGCCCTAGAATTGTATTGGAGTTTCTTTTTTTTTTTTATTATTTTTTTTTTTATTTTGCAGTTTCGTAGCAACGTCAGTGATTTAGTGATCCCAATCGTGATAGTCTTAGAGCTAGATGTCCAAATCACGTGAACTCCCGACGTGTTTGTCTGATCACGACACCAAATTACGTGTCGGGTGTGTACGTTGATGTTAGTGTCAGCAATGCTAGTACAGCATCTCATCCTATTCGTGAATCGTCCAAACAGCCCAGCTTCTGAGAAACCAAATCATTTTCCCTTTGTTACCAAAACACAAACCCTTTTTCTCTTTCTCTCACGCTTCGAGAGAAATTGCTGTCCGAATTGTGTAAGCGTGAAAAATAAATAGGTAATTCAATAAGGGGGGAGGGGGATGAAGCTAAAGAAAAGGAATTCGTTCGAGGAGCGATATATGTGTACGATACAACGAAATCTTTCGAAACGATACAAACAAATTAGTAAAGGAGAGTTTGATTCATAGGAGAATAGAAAGCTGCGACCAGGCGAGGTGGTGGATGAGCGTAAGGTGAGAAAATGGAGAGAAAAAAAAAAGCGAATGCCTCGTCTGCAACCTTACTACTCGACTACCAATGCACTTATTTTTTTTTTCACTTTCACATTTGTTCTTTTTCTTTTTCTCGCACGTTATTTCTTTTATCTTGTATCACACAAATTATTATTACGATACGCGTACTTATCGAATAAACATCGAACGAAGAGCGAAATTAAAATATTATTCTCTTCGCGATCATGATCTCTTCGTTCGACTCTGCCTGCTCACCTCGATTACTTTTTAGCACAATATTTACATTCATCTTCTTCGATCATCTTGCGCTCGATGAACCGGAAGCGGGAAAAAATTTCGCTTCCTATTTATATTTAATTTTTTAATAAATTTCGAATGGAAAGCGTTTCAACGAAGATCGAGCGCAAGATTGTCGGATTTTTTCGAAGCAGAGGTTCTATCGATTCAAGAAAACCTCGGCTCCTCTTTTTTTTTATGAATTAATAATATATTATTGATCATGGATATATGCACAATTGCACCATTGCACCAACGCACCTCTGCACCTGGCACGGATCTGTTGCAACCGATTCTCTCTCTTTCTGACCATTTTATATATTCCACGATCGCTATTTAATATTAATACCGTTAATAAGATAATATAATTAATATATATATATTTATATAAAACATCAAACAAATCGTGAAAAATAACGACAAGGGAAAAAGAAAAAAAAACGATTCGAGACGTGTCTGGCGCGATACGGATTCTCTTCTCCACCTTAAATCTTAAATCATTGGTGTATAAGGTTTCGTATTCGCTTCTAACATACATTACGGCTCATAGATTACATTTTGGCAAAAGGATTGTTCCGAAAGGACAGACGCATCAGCGTTAACAAATGCCTAGACCAGAGACAAACATCTACTACTAACTACTTTCCAACATTATCAATCTATGTATTCGTGTACATATACTATACGTATATATACGTATATATCGTTTACATGGTAAGTGAGAATACGTTTTCCACGATCCGAACACTTGTTATTTTCTGCCAACGGTCGGACAAAACTATCAATTTGCCGGACGCGAAGGACGACTTTGACTTATGCTATTGTACATTTAATACTTTGCCGTCTATTAATCAAACGCGGCCATTCGATCGTTTATTTCTAGCCGAATCACGCAGACACGCCACGGATTTTCACATCGAATTATCAACGGTTCGACTCGAGAAAAATTCGATCGTTCTATAACTCCCTTAAATTCTTTCCAAGTAAACGAAACGATCGCGCGTCGCTACGAGTCGCTACCAACTACACGTATTTGTGTTTACACTCGAAATATGAAACTTGGTATGTCCTCTGATTTGAACAGCGCTTGCGCGAAAACGAACGAACGAACAAAGAGGAACGAATTTATCGGCAAAACAGTCGGTAAAAATTTATTTTCTTTTTTTATTTACTTTTCCTGTACTGTATATCTCCATTTTTCCTCCTAAAAATTTTTTCTCTCTCTTTCTCTCTCTTTCTCTTTCATTGCGTTTTTATAATATGTATAATTTAAAAAAATAAATATTTCGGATACGCGTTATTAAGATACGTTTGCTATCACGTTAAGAGCAAAGGATACTAGAAGATTTCGCGATCGAAGATTATCTGAAAAACTCTGAAAGAATGCTGACATTTCGTCTCTATAATTTTTTGCAGTTGGGAAAATTACGCCCCGGCGAGGTGTTAGACACTAAGGTGAGATTTGTGTTCGCTATAACACAAAGCTTACCTGCCCGAACACCATTTACCTGCGAAATTTTTTATACTCTCTATATATATGTTTCTCACTTCATCGAACCTCGATTTTTGCTCCTACTACTTTTACACTTTTTTTTTTCTTTCTCCGTTTTTCTATTTCTATTTTTTATATACCTGACCCAACCACGAAGGATTTTTTAATCGAATTCCCAATTGAAGCTATATTATATATAAATACATATATATATATAAAAAAAGAGCAATTTAACAGCGATAAACTAAAACCAGCCGAATGTTGTATTCCCAGACGCAGGAAATGCAGAAAATGCCGCATACCACCATGGAAAGCCGATATAATATTCATTTTGCGATTACGCAATCTTTTTTTAGTTATATTTTTTCAAGCTGTCGCCGCTGCTGCCCACTCCCCGCTATCTCTACCATCGAGGCCTGTTTCTACGTGTTCGAGAGAGTACACTGGCAATCAGATGTAAATCCGTCTCTTCTTTCCGATAAAAATTCCCCTTATAGAGATATCTCGAATCCCTTCTCGAAAACGTAAAAAAAAAAAAACTTTTTTACTCGTCGTATTTTTCTATTTCTATTTTCTTTTTTCTCTTTTTTTTTTCTTTTTCATTTTTCCACGCACAACGTGCAGAATAAATCTGGCCGCCCTGGTGAACTGCAGGGGAAAGAGGTTAGCGTTATATTCACTATCTTTCGAATTGCACTTGCGTTATCTCGAATATTTATTTCTATTTCTTTTCTTTTTTTTCAATTCTACATGTTGCAATGCGCGTCTGTAAATATTTTGCAAAAAACCGCTCAACAGGCTTCCGGGCGTTTCGTCTTTGACGAATTTTTACGCCATTTTCCACCGATAATTGTCGATCAAACATTTCATTTACGATTGAAACGTTCCGCAGCTATGTATACTACAACATACTTTTTTGCTTAATTCGAGCGAATACTTATTTATTTGTACTGAAAACAGTAGAATTAGATAATGGTGGTAAGAAATATTTACGTGTTTTTTAATCGATGTTTGAATTTTGACCAAATGTATATTTCTTTTTCTTCTATTATTTTTCGTGTCTCGTGAGTAACCTTCGAATGTTTTATGTGTTTATCGTGTCAAGTCAAACGGACCGCAATATAAGAGATGGTTTTGGTCAAATATCTCTGTACTGAATTCTATTATATACGGAATTACGAAATTTAAAACATTGTAACAATATTGGCAGGTCTATTTGAAATATGATACATATATGTGAAACTCAAATATTGCTTGTTCTTAATGTTAATTTGTCGCGAATGAAAGTAATCGATACATGTTGATCATTGATCGTTCTCATATCGTTACACATCTCTAATAATCGAATCTTTATACAGTAATCATACGACGTTTATATTTGTTTATTAATTTGTTTATTTATTTAATTGTGTATTATCTATACGTACACTTTGATGTCTCTTTATAAATAATCCATACTGCGGTAATCGAGTCGCGATTTTCTTTCCTCCTTTCCTCAATTTTTTATAAATTGTCAACTGTGTCTCTCTCATTCTTTCTATCTCTCTTTCTCTCTCTTTTATCTTCATTATCCTCATTCTCCTATACATATATATGTTTATTAACCACGCCTTATGTATCGCAATTGTATCTAACAGCGATGATGTGACGATGATCGAGAAGTTTCATGAACGTCACAAAAGTATTATACCTTTTATTATACCGCATCGAGTATCCTTCGAATGGACAAGCGATTTTTGTGACTAAACGAATCTACTTATAATCCCGTTCAAACGACTTTTTTTATTTGCACGTATCGTCGTTATGCGATTTTAAACGCATTGTAAACGCATCGATCGATAATTCAAAATGAATCGCTTACTCTCTTATTGTTTACTGTTGGAAAGAAGGTCGAGGGAATGTCAAGGGAGGGGCAAGAGGCAGGTCCTTCGCTAGGACCGCCTATCCCCACTTCAGACGCTTTGTTGACAATCTTGACACCATACGCTACATAGTAGTAGAACTATAATTTGAATATTCAAAATCGTAAAAATTATTTTATGAAATTATGTTAGAATAATCATTTAAGACTGAAAGTGGATTTAAAATATTTTCAAAAGTATAAAGTATATATTAATTATTTTGATATAATATTAATATATCTATATCTAGCTTATTTTGTACACATACAATTAATATCTAAACAACTCGAATACGAAATTACATTTATAAATTAAACTATCGTTATAAATTATAATTAGCTTATACATATGAAATAATATGAGAAATAAAATTTTTATATCATATCGATACATTAAAATTCTTTGGATTCTACATATCGAGATATAGATATAGATCGTTTTGTGACAAATATCATGGTAGAAACAAAAATGCGTAGGAACAAAAATAGACGTTTCTTTCCACTTTTTACCACGAGACTTTTTACCAGCAGTGAACAATATTTACTTACTTGGTTCGTCGAAAATTCGCGAAGAAATATGCATCGATCGACGCGGTGCACAATACTCTCCCTTTATTTTATGCGTATTCCTATATTAATTTTTATGCGTATTTATCGTTTCGTAGCGAAGCTCTTCTCACGACACGAACTTCGTAAACTTTTCAGATTTAATCTCGTTAAATAGCGTTAAGTTTAACCCTGTGACTGATCAATTGGCGAAAATTAAGCGTCGAATTCGTGAGAATTCGAATCAACACCCTTCTCTCTTTCTCTCTCTCCACGTAACTCGCACAACCTTTCATTTATGAGTTGTCCCATATCGTATACCCCCTTTCTCGAATCGTCCACTATTCCGATTCTCTTCGTATCACAGAAGCGAATCAGAATGATATCACCAGACTTTTGCTGCAATTTATTATTATTTTGATTTATCATTTTACCTTCTCCCTTATCTGAATAAAAGAAGACAAGCAAAAGTCTTGGTATCTCGTTTCCTCGATTTAGTTGCATTAACATTGTGAATAACGATGAACGATCTTAATGCTTCGTGTTAACCACGTAGATTAACGATGTGACTAAAACAGTTTGTAATTTAAAGGCATGATTAATCATTCACGGCACCACGGCACATAGCATACGGCATGAGATGCACCCGAATATCGAACCGAGTCGTAACTTTCGCCCTGTTCATCGAATTATATATGGAATAATTATTCGATCGGGGAAATCGACGAAGCAGGTAAGAGTGGGCGAAAGTCGCGCGCTTGATTCGTTGCTGCTTGTTCGCTTTCTTCCGAAAGCTTTCGATGCTTGAAAACGAAAAAAAAAAAATAAAATAAAAAAAATAAAAAAAAAATAAAAAAGATAAATGATGGAAAAAAATCGCTTTATCGATTGATGAATACGATCGATTGATACAGCGTCGTCGTCCGAGCACGGACGTCCGAAGACCCAGCGTGGCGGACCTCGAGAATAAGATCAATCAGCCGAGCACACCTCTTCGAGATGTCGGACCACCGGGACCACCTCAAATCATCGATGTCCAGGAATCGTATTCCGCGGTGGAAGGTACGTTAACTAACTTATCGACCGATCGAATTATCGACACAACAACCACTTTTCTTTTAGTCCAGTTTTACCCGTTGAGAAAGTAACTAGTTAAAAATTTCGAACAAAGTTTACTTTAAATAATTACTTACTAATTAAAATAACATTTTATTCGTAACTGTTGTAGTCGATCCGCTTTTCACATAACCTCGTCCATTTGCCACTACAATTATTTACGATTGTTATCACATTTTGAACGATAAACTATCGAAATTAACCTTATTCGTAACCTCAATTATTTTACGCTCATCACTGCCTTTTAGACTCGACGGCATACCTCACGGTTGGTGTTGAGGGTACGCCAGCGCCCACTTTCAAATTCTACAAAGGGATCACCGAGATCATCGAAGGTGGCCGATTCAAGTTCCTTACGGACACAGAGACCAATACGATCACCCTCTGCATGAGGAAGACGAAGCCCAACGACGAGGGCACGTACAAGATCGTCGTGAGCAATATCCATGGCGAGGATTCCGCCGAGATGCAGCTTTACGTTCCGGTATGGAAAACCTCCTCCTCTCTCCCCCCATCTCGACTCGATTTTTATATTCGTTTATATTCGACGTATATTCGCCAGACGCCAGTGGTATGGACTTCCGTGCTATGTTGAAAAAGAGAAGGTATCAGAAATGGGCAAGAGAGGAGCAAGAGCAAGAAAAGGTAGATTTGAAGGAAGTGGAGAAACCGATGCCAGCTTTGAAAAAAGTGGAAAAGGTACGTGTATATTTATTATACGCTTATATCGTTATTCGATTCATGATCACGTGGTTCGATACTTCGAATATCGAATTTTTATATTTTTTCTTTTTTTTTTCTTCTTGTATGTCTTGACGGAGCTTGTTTATTTTTATTATGGTATGCATGATGAATTACTCTATGATTCGTTGCAAGTCTGCTGCACTTCATTCGTATTCTCGATAGTATTTGTCAAATGTCGCATAACAGCTCGGTACGCTACGTGGATGGTATCGTTCAATATAGAAAATATCGCTTTAATTAAAAAATGATTTTCTTGAAGCGCGATTATATATATATATATATATATATATATATATATACGTTGTCG